CTGCCCTCGATTCCGTTCGGGGTTTCTCCTCGCGATTCGTTGTTCTTTCTCTCACTCGGTCGCAAATAATATACAGGCTGTCTCGGCTAACTCGATCACCTCGAATAATGACTTAACGGTACGGTTTATGAAAATTTTGAGGCATGGAACTTAAATGGCATCAAGGGACACATCCTATAAGATGTTGTTTTTGAAATTTGTATTAAAAAAAATGTGGGACGCTTCCTCAGGGTGGATTCTACATACGAAAATAAGACGAAAATCAAGAATGACGAAATTCCGCTCGAGAGTTCGTTTCGGAGTTATTGGTTGTTGAAAATACTACTTGTGAAGCGCGTTCTTCAACTGTTTCACGAGTTGGCTTCATTCGTTTCATTTTATTACATTTATTAAAGCTCAAATACTGCAGTAGTTGACAAGAAAAGTTACCACTTTACTGATTTCTTTTTTATTTTTATTGTTCCTTAACGTCTACTTAAAACTTTAATATACCGAGTTTTATATAGCTTTCAATTTTCTAGTAGGTCATTCATCGATTGATCCCGTGCATCAGCTAGGAATCGGCTGTACAAGTAGTATAATCCAACGCGTCAGACGTATTTCACATGTAAATTTTAACAAGAAACTTAACAAAAATTGAACAGCCCAGAGAAGTCGTGCTAGTTTTCGAATTACAAAAAAATTGATAAACATCTCACAGATGGCACGTGTTACCAATGAAGAGTTAACAACCCAGTATAAAAAGTTTAACAACAATGTGGAATGTATAAACCAGATACGATTCCCACGTTAAGGGTTAACACCCTGAATGAAAAGTTTAACAGACGTGCAGAATGTATGAACCTGACACGATTCTTCTCAACTATAGAGATTTGTGTTTGTTCGCGTATCCAATGGACCGATATAACGTTTCAATCGTGACAGGAGAGGATTACGGGTGTTATAACACCGTGCATTTGCGTATCTACCGATTTTACGGGTTATCGTGAAAATCGGGAATATATCCGATATGAGCCACCCCCGTATCCACGAGCGAACAATGGGGCGCATTAAATTTAATTAAAAATTTCGACGTGACCGCCGCAGCACATCGATATTTTCTTTTTTTTTTTATCAGCGTTGTTTTTCATTTATTTATCGCCAACGCGGGGAGCTCGTAACTTCGTTACCGGTTGGTCGATGGGAGGGTAAATCCTCGATTTCACGAGAGTCGGGGACATTAATTGTTTCATCAATAACGGGGTAACGGCGAAGGTGGGGCAGGAGAAGGCAGCTTTCGATTCCTGGCGCACTTTCGTCGCGTGATTTTCTGGTTGATTTTCTACCTCGTGTTTTTCAGTCGGTAGGGACCGTGAGATCGTGAGCATTTTTTCTCTTCGTACAACAGTGTTCCGATCAATGGAAAGAAAGCAAAAATTCGGAGTGTAAGGTCTTGAACTTTTTATGTCTTGCAATGTTAATGACAAAATGTAGGTTTTAGTATTACCTATACCATTCGTAGAATATATCAATTTGATTAAAACACGAAGTTTTTACACTTTCTCAAATACCTACTGTTTACAGACCACTTCAGTAATGTAACAACTTTGTAACTAGTGAGTCATTTTCGTAGAATAATAACAAATTATCCTGATTTTTTATGTAAAATGTTTATCAACTTTAGTTAAAAACTTTTGCATATTGATTTGGAACATAATGAACTTTAAATTAATGTCAAATTTATCTGTTCAAGTTTGCTCGAAATAGAGGAAATGGTCGAAATTATTATTAGCACGTTCACGTTCACGACTCTGAAACCAGATCTCTTTTAGCATAATGATTATAATTTATTAAAATATTAATTGCAGTAATTGTGGTTAAATATGGTAAATCAAATTTATTTGAATAATTGAGTCTATTAATCACAATCAAATATAATAATGTAAATTTATTTTAATAACTGCTATAGTAGCTATCAAAAAAATCGAACCACCTCGATGTTCTCAATTGGAACCGATCATATACATCAATCGATGTAACTTCGCATTCTCTTTAAAAAAAAAATATGAGGGTACTTGCTACAAAAATTGATCAATTCAGAAGTTACGATTTTTTTTCCTAACGGCCATATACAAATGTACATAAAACACCGTGCGTCCATAGCGTTTCTCTCCACCCTTGGGATCTATTCACGGCGGTATGGTTTTTTTTATGCACGCATTATCCACACCAGCGATCGATCCGTTTTTATTTTACATCTCGAATCACGAGGTCCGACGTGATTTCTACCGAGATCGATCGAAGGTCAGACCCGAGAGAAAAAAAAAAAAAAAAAAAGAAGCCTACCCAAAGCGAAAAGGTAGCTAGATCAAAACGACATCTACTCTCGAGAGGATCGTCGAATTCCTTCGTTAGATATCCCAAGATCGCGTGATGATCCACGATTATCCGAATGGGCGGGGTCGCGTGATCACCGGCGATTTCTCGTCGTTTCCGCCGAACGAAGAACTCGTTCGACCCTCTCACCAACCCTCGTTTTCATGTACGAGCATCGAGCATATCGTTCCACACGGTCTAATTACGGGACTACGTAGATTGATAATCATCGATCGTGACACGATAACGACCCCCCGCGATCGCAGATTCACACGAGCCGAAACGGCGGGGCCATTTCCCAGGCTCGCCATGGGAAATTATGCAGCGAGTCCGTTCACCTAAAACCATCATGTGGCCGGCGCGAAAACCGTTTGATTCGTCCGATCGCGTACGATACGCCCCTATTTAAATTCCATTAATTCGACTGTAGACGACGAACGATATTCAGTACCCACGGGGCTTTTTTTCCACGGATTTTTCAACCGGGAATTCGGTTGTATCTCTGATTACGCGGATTTATCGGCCCGTGACGGAACGAGAATCGCCATTGATCATGGCGCCTCGCTGTCTGTATACAGCATGCACTGTAATTACTGTTTCCACTTTAAGGCCTTAAACGCGAAAAAACCTCTCTGAACAGACGAGTATCAAGGTCTATTTGGACCTATGTACCCTCGTGAGCAAACTCGGCTTACGCTGGGGGAAAAAGTGACGTAAGAGAAGGGCCTTCTACCACTCGAGAAATTTAACAAATGTTAAATCGAATGTTAATTTGGCAAAAATTTCAGTCATTCCAAATACCAACAGGTAGAAGTATGGTAAGAGGCCCTTCTTCTACGTCTTTTTTCTGGCGTCTATTCAAACATGAGAAATGTCCATCTTTCCGAGGGTTAACCCTCAATGCAGACTTAATAAATCTCGTCTGAGATTTGACTAATCCGACAACAACTAGTTCGCAACACTTTCAATAGCTTTTTGTTATTGTTATAGAAATATGTAGCGTGTCACTCACCGAAGTAGTTCAATTGAAGGTGTACACAAATGCCCAGAGCTTCCAAAATTCTCCAGTAGGGTGTGACAGTCAACGAAAAAATTCAAACCAGCCTCCGACATAAGCCAGCCATAATTATAGGTTAGTCCAGTCGATCGTACGTAATAACAACGTCGACGCAAATTTATTCCACTGCAAACGTGCGCATTCGGACGTTTTCAACGTGAATAGGAAGTGAATCGAATCCCCAGGTCTATTATTTGAAATTCCAGACTCGCATGTTCGCGTCGTGTGCCTGCCACGAAACGATTTGCTCAGGTCCCCGTCGATTCAAGATAGATCTGGTCCCCCCACCAAGTAATAAGCAACAACCGCGACCACGATAATCATCAGTCGAGTCCACAACGAATCGCGTAATTACACATCTCCCTGGATCAGATTAGCCACCGTCGAGTTCTCGAAACACAGAAATGCCGGTTGTCGAGGGGCGGGGGCGGGGGGGGGCTTGACGTCGCTCCTGTTGGCGGTTTAAGCTCTCCCGGTGGCGTCCCCTACTGGAAATCCGATTAAGGCCAAGAATAAATTTGTACCACTGAGACTAGTTATACCGACCGGGAATCGGTCGTTGCTACTAAAGGTTGTCTTGCTCGTACGAACGAAAGAAAAAATTCAACGAGTACGCTTGATAAACGTCGTCGGGACCTTCGACAGCCGTAGGGTCGAATTACCTAATCTAAAGCTGTTTACGGGGCGGCGTTGGTAGCTAAGAAACCAATTAAGGTCATCGGTGAATCCCGAACGGCACCGCGGTCTTCGGTTGCGTCGAAACTCGTCGACCATAGTTTAAGAACATTGCACGGTGATCAGCTGTACCGGGTGAGTAAAAAGAATGTCTAAAATTTCAGGGGTTTGTAGTGTGGTAATTGAGGGTAGTAGAATAATGTCTAATCAATATAGGTTCTAAAATCAATTGTACTTTAAATGAGGAAAGGTTTGAACCAAGTCTTGAGACATCAGTTTAAGGTGCTTTCTTGTGAGCTATAGACTCCTTGGAAGTAAGTCAAACGACCAACTGTATCCAATTGTGATATTTTCTTGAAATGCTAAACGCACTAGTGAATCTCCAGTAAATATCAAAAGCAACACTAGAACGTCAGTCGTCTCATAGCAATTCGATATTCATCATTGTTGTTGAATTCAAAGAATTAGGTTAATCATTAACTTACTTTCCAAGACTACTGTGCGCCCACGAGTAAACTTAGCCTCCGCTAGGGGAAAAAATGGCGTCGAAGAAAAGTCTTCTACCACTTGGTAAATTTATTTCAAATACTGAAATAAATGTTAAATTGAATGTTAATTTGTCATAAATTTCCATAATTCCCAATACCAAGTGGTAGAAGGCCTTTTCCCTACGTTACTTTTTCCCCTAGTGGAAGCAGAGTTTGCTCATGAGGGTACACCACATCCACCTGATTTGTTTCACGGTTAATAATCGAGACTTGTCGCGACCATTTTCATCTCGAATATCGAGGGTTCTTTTTTTATCGATTCAGGCTACCTGTAGAATCGACGTCGAATATCCAGTTCCGCGAGTGACAGTGGGGAGGTTCAGTAACAAAGCTATTTAGATGACAAGCAATTTTCATGTACTCACTCGGTCTGATTGTCCTCGAACGTGAGCGTTCCCTCTGTGTGCATGTACTGCTTGCCAGGCTTGGCCGTTCCCTCGACGGTCCGATAGGGGACGGTCACGCGTCCCCTGGCGCCGCTGTATCTCACAACTCGCAACGGAAACTGTCCCACGCTCTCCACCAGATCGACGTCCCTCTCTGGAAACCCGAACACGCCGCTGTGGTCGTCGTCGAGGATCATCACCGTCGCCAGGCTCGGTGACACAAGCATCGCCGGCTGCGTGGCGTTGGTCAGCCTGCGAACAATCCATTGAGTCTGGTTAATTTACCGCGAAAATATTTGAACACTTTAAGGAAAAAACGATCACAGTCTGTAAATCGAAATTGAGATTTTAGCATAGAAAAGATATTGGACTATGATAAATGGAAGAAAAAAACGAATACAGGCCAGAGAAATTCAGGGCCAAGCAATATTTAGTTTAGGGAAGGACGATCAGTGTCACATTTCTCAAATGGAAGAATTATCAATATCCGAAAGGATTCAGAAATAGGTTATAAAAAAGAGGAATATTAAATTTTGAATTGTAATAAATAAAGTAGATTTTACGTTTTGTGGCAGCGATCGTTTTTCCCTTTGACTCTACATTTGAAATCAGCATGGAAATCATGGTCCACGATGAATTAGTCAGATCCGTCGAATGGTCACCGAATTCGTGTAACTTTGTCACGCCTATTTAATGAACCACGTAATTATTTTCTCCTCGACCCAATTCCACCTCGTTCTAATGACTCTTACGCGAAAAATAGCCAGTCGAATGTTATATATTGCCAACCGTTATCGAGCTAGGTTCATCTCGTTCGACCGCGGCACGAACGGTTCTCGAACAAGAACAAACTCACTCGCGACCAGAATTCGTTCGTACTGGAACGGAAGGTGCGCGCGTGTCGCTCTAGATCTACTCGAATTAGATCGAAATCGAAGGGCCCTGAGGAAAGCAATACCTATAGAAGTTCGCCTCGTGGAAAAACTTCGACGATTCTCGAAACATTTTTCCTTCCCTTGCTTACGTACACTTCTCATACCTGGCGGCATTAAGACAAAAAACGAGGTGCTAAAAGTTTCTCAGCTAAAAACTTGCTAGATCGTACTTCACGCTTCCTTAACCTTTTCTAATTTCTTCAAGTTTCTCTCTGCACTATTCTGTCCACCAAATTCATGATTAAAAGAGATGTGACCTTGAATGTTTCTTGGACTTATAAATATCAATGTTTCCAGAGGATTTCTGATGTCGTTTCGTCGAGGAACGAGACAATTCCATTCCGTCCCCTCTTCCGTCCTCCGTCTCGTTTACGACGGGAATGAAGGGTCAGTCCTGATGAAATCCAGGAAATCCCGTGAAACGTATTTCACCGGGGGAACACACCGACCGGAGGGAAAATGGAGGCTGACAATCCTGAAAGCGATTGCACCGGATTAGGGGGACGAAAGAAGAGGCACAGGAAGCGTCTTCCTCTCCATGGCTTGATGCGCAAAGAACGGGTAAGCGCTGTCGCGGAGGTTATCCTCGCTTCGTTTAGACCTTCTCGCGTGTTTAAAATGCATGAGGAAATATAGAGAATCGCGTGAGATGACAACGTCTGAATTTTCACCCAGCGAACACGTATGATTACCATACACGCGTTTATAATTGGATCGAGGACTCTTGCAGCTGAGTCCACAGATGAAAGTATTAAGGTCGTAACCATAGGAAATGTCCGTTTATTTTTTCAGTTGATTAAGAGGAGTTTTTTTGTTCACTTTGTCTGTTCGTTTCGAATGTAACGATACTGTCAGTGGTACAAAATTGTCTTGCAAGTTCTGAAAATTACACAGGTCCACTTCAGCTAAGGACCTTCAGATTTTTGTTTCTCATCTTCATGGGTCCAAATGGTTTCCAAAGCTGGTATCACCAGAAGAGAATTTAGAAAGCCAGTAGTACATTTGTACTACATTTATTGGCACTATCCTCACCAAAAGTTATGTTAATATTACGTGCAGCTTCGATAGCAGAATGACCAAGTTTAACACTAGAACTACCGAATCAAAATGACGGATTTCTGATCTTAATAAAGATAATTTCATCGGAATTTATGTTAACCTTTACTTCATTATACAATTCCTACTATACTATAGTAGTATAATTAGACAATTCAATTTGTTAGAATACATTCAACGCCGGTAGTTCTGGTGTGAAACTCATAAAGGTAAATGCTCTCCAATTTCGTGCGTGTTCACTGTATCGTATGCAAAGGGAATACTGAAGACCTTCGAACTATCTACGTGATATTATCCGATACTGATACTATCTACGTGAAGTATCTAAAGCGTTCACACGGCCATTTAAAATGTTACAACCTAACAGAATGGTGATACACTTTTGTCACTGAGAAAAGAGTAACATCGCAATTCCAGACGATAAATCCCAGTCTTAAATGATCGTCAAGAGAAGACGAGGCCCCCCAAGACCAAAGGAATCCCTAAATACACGAAAACGTCTCGCGGCGATCGTTATTACCACGCTCGGAGGATTAAAAAGAAAAAAGAAGATCTTCAAGAATTCGTCCGCTCTACTTAAACCCGGCGCGCGATGGAGATAGCGTGGCAGAAAGAGCAATTTTGTCGCTCTTAATCAGAGTGGCTGATACTTGTCTCGAGTACTCCGTGAGTACCCAGTCGTCGTCGTATTCCAGTTCCTATCTCAGTTCGCAGCCCACGCCTCGTTAGATAAACCCCGTGTTTCTTGCGTGGGGAAAACGGACAACGGTTCGTACGCGGCCGGATGTTCGAGATTAAACCGGGGAAATGGCGCGTCGCTGCACAGTGATCGATTTCGCGAATCTAGAATCTAGATGGAGAAAATTCAGTTTATTCCGGGAAACAAATGTTCATGGCTCGCGGCATGATTGAATGATAAGAATAATCTTTTGGTGACTTGTTCAAAAACAATTCGATTATATTGTTTTTCTTTCTTTCAAAAACTGTGAAGCACTGTAGTTATGTGAATATTGAAATCAAACCTCGCCTAGTCTCGAACACTAATCGTCTAGACAGTTTAGCTTTCACTAAGTTCCCTAGTAAGAGAAGTCTGACCACGTCCGACGAAATAAGTTATGGATTTCTATTTCTTTTTAAATAACACTTCTTTAATCGATGATAATTCATTTATTTGACAAAACTAAATTGTCTTATCAAGTAATTTCACGGTTTTTCTTTTCAAGTAAGTCCATTTCGCGGACAGGGGGCAAGTATCTTACAAAAAATAAATAAACAGCCAAGAAACAGTTATCTGATTTTAAGGTTATGTAATCTCTGCGCATTTAATTGTGAATTACTCTGAAGACAGGAGATAGAAATATGTTCGATTGTTCACGTATATTTATATACCCACAGATTGAACTGTAAAAGAGCTAGTAAACATTAGATCCTTACATTTTCGTCCACCTAGATTTGTAAAATCAACTCTGCTCGACCCTCTCCGATTCGTTCACCAAAATGGCGGCGTGTGTACGTTCACTAGACGGCGGATATACTCCACTCGATCGTGATATCCTCGGTACCTCTCTCCTGGCGCGAATACGCAAAATTCTCTATTATTACGGGACGATCAATCGACGGTAATTGGCGTCCCCGCTACGCACGTACGCGCGTCGGCGTCAATAAAGCCGCGGATAAGTGGCAGCGTGTCCCTTTGTGCGTCGAGTTTATTCGGTAATGAAATTGCGCGCGCCATCCGGCCCCGAGCTAATTGAAAGATGCGCTCGCCCGACCGACGATTATCAATTTATCGTCGCGGCGAGGCTAGTTAAACGACCGTAGGCCCGCGGTCGAACCCTCAGGAGTCTTTCCTCGAATCGAATCCGTTTCCTGTTGTTGTCGCGTCGCGAAAGAACTGGGTCGTCTGTCCGATTGTCGCGCTTGTCCGTGAATGGGAATCATCTAGCTTGGCTGAAACCGCCTCGACGCAGACTTTCAATAGGGAAAAATGTTATAATAATCTTTTCCTTTTTTTTTTTTATAATAATTTTAATTTAAAAATTTTGTTTAATTTTAATTTTATTTATCTACGGGTTAATTCCCATTAGAATACAAGAGAAATATGTAAACATGTTTAAGTAATATACAGGGTATCCCTAAATAGCTTCGATTCCCGGAAGTGAGGGATTCCTGGGATGGTTTGAAACAACCTTTTCCTTAGCGAAAATGTTATCCGAGGCTTTGTTAACGAGATATTAATGAAAAACCAAGGGCCAAAATACAAGATCAACGTCCACAAGATTGAAAGTTATGGATTGTGTATAGCGAATAATACGGATCGTTTCAATGCAGGAAAAGTGTTACAGAAGTCAACGACATGACAGAATAAGTTGGCATTCGCACAAATACGGTCGATGGACTTTTAATGAAAAGAAAGTGTGTCTTCTCAAACGTACGATTAGAATATAAAAGATATCTGGAACTTTCTCAAAAAGTCTTGTAACAAGATATTTGTCTGGAATTGTCCAAGGGTTGAATTCGGTTCATCGTGGACCATCGAATAAGAACAATGTTATCTCGAACTCCTTTGAAAAAATATTAGACATACAAGATATTTGTCGAATAGTCCAAGAGTTGACTCCATTTCGACGCGGACTTTCGAAAGGGAAAAATGTTATCTCGAGCGCTATTGAAAAAATCTTGCGCGAGATACTATTAATCGTGATTGTCCGCGGATTCGTTGGAGAGTACAAAAGCATCATCGCGATCTCGAGGCTCGTATTACTCTCATTGACGTTTAAAAGCGTTGTCGGACGATTCTTTTTTTATTTATCTCCGTTCTAAGCACACATTGTTCCTCGACCTCGACCCAGTTCCAAGGCAAGAGGCGATCGTTTTTTTTTTTTTTCGCTATTTCGTCAGACTCCAATCTGTTTCGCAAAACAATGAAACATTTTCTACCATTTTCTTTTTCTTTTGCTTTTTTCGTTTCTTTCATCTACCTCTTCGTTCGAATTCCCCAGTCCGGCTTCCGCGCGACTCGTTGCATTCCTCTGGGAGATTTTCAAGGTCCGATACGTTTGACAGACGTACGAATCGCATCGCCCGCGCGATTCCTTTCCTCGGTTCCGACGGCTATTCTTGTATTTCCCCAGACGAACCGTCCGCGACTTGGTAGCGCCAACGATCCGTGTGATCCGTCGTGCACCGACCCGCGTTCTCGCTGAATTCAGGGTAAATATCGTCGACCAGGCAACAATTTCGTCACGTTGATTCGCCTTATTGAACGGAACCAAGCGAACCGTAGCAACTGAGCGAACAATACACACCGATTTCACTATTTTCGAGGATCGATTCCTCGAATATTTCGATAATATACCCTATCATGTTAGATAATAATTTTATCGACGAATCAGATTATAATAATACCAAATTTATTTACGGGAAGCCCGCTTTACCCCCTAATTATCTGGAGCAGGGTCAGTCTCACGAATTGTCAATATTGACTAACAAGGGAACACAGCAAACGTTGAATCACGGATAGTAATAAAACTTTGTGGGTTTATAGAGTGATTCAAGGCAAGAATAAACGGTATGTTTCATTCGTACAGTTTAAGGGTTCGTAAACTAACCTCAAAGTCCATAGGCCACCCTCCCCCCACTTTTTCGCGTGTAACTCTTAAAGAACAAGAGGTAGAAAAAAAGTTTCGTACAAAGGTTTAATGATATAATAATCTTTATAAACTTGGGTTAACAAAATGTTGAAAAAAAATGTTTTTTTTTTAATTTTTTCTTAAGAAACTTCATCATCGCTTATCGGTGGACCGAGTCGAGCAAGAACACCTTCGAATCTGGCGTTTACACACGCATATACACAGAGACTCATGGGGGGGGGAACAGTGTCAGCTATTTTTGTACGAGATCACGGTTCGAGTGACTTCAACGTTTTTGCGGTTTCATCGTGCCAGTTGCGAACCCGATGCCACAATCGTTCGACCAACCGCCGCGGATATTCCCCGTGGGCAGGAAGAGAAAGAGAGATGGAGGTCTAACGGTGACCTAGAATCGGGCGAGAATGACCGAGTGGCAATTCGATTCAGTCACCGATCTTCGGAATCAAAGTCCCAAGTTTCGCAGAAAAGAATGATCGTGAACGAGGAGAACCGTCGAATTAACCCTCGGACCACGGTGCATGGGCCCATTTGGACCCAAAATTTTAGTGACTTACCATTACAGTTCACGAAAATTAATCAAAGCTTTGTTGTTGTTTATATTAGCATTTCTGTAAGAACACTATTTTGAAGAAATTCGTCCGAAAGAGAAATAAGTAGCGATCTATCTGGACCTAGATACGATCTTCTATCGTTTTATTTTATTTACGGGATGATTCCCATTAGAATACCAGAGAAATAATAAAATAAAATGGAATGGAACATTGCAATCCGCCTTGCGAGGATTAAAAACATATCATACTAGATACGGTAAATCCTCGATAAGTATTCGAAGGCTCCTCGGCACTGAACATTAAATATTTCATAAACTAATGGCCATATGTTGCTGAAACAAATATGATTGACTTCAGAATCCCAAGCTCTACCACTGTGTTAAACCTCATTAAAAAATCATCGTTACAATCTGGGGACCTCTGCTCGTCAGTGTCGAGGAGCCTTCGAGCACTCATCGAGGATTTCCTGTATGGAAAACGAAGGAACCACCGCGACTATCCGACGATTAAACAAAACGATGTGCCTCACCTGATGTAAAAGTGTTCGTCCTCCTCGAACAGCTCGTCGTCGATAACGGATAGCTTGATGATCTTCTTGGTCTCGCCTGGATCGAAGATCAGTGTCCCCTTCGCGGTGATATAATCGGAGCCAGCCTCGGCCGAGCCATCCTCGGTGCAATAGTCTACCGAACAGGGTTTGGTCAGATCACCACCGACTCTGGTCACTCCCACCTCGAACGTGCCGACGTTCTCCATAACGGTGTAGTGTCCAGGCTCGAAGAAGATCCTCATCGCGTTCACGTTCTCGATATCGATGCTCTCTGCCTCCTGTCTCTGTAGCTCGGCCTTGACCTCGCTGAGGTCACTTTGCGCTCTTTCGCTGATCTTCTTGCTCAAGTTCCCAGCCCCGACCATCTTCCTTGTCGCCTGGACCCTGTAGAAAGCTCTGCTCTTGGGTCCTTTACCGAGCACCTCTTCATGGGCCATCACTTCCAGTTGCTCCAACGGCTGGGTCGGAAATTTCTTTCTCAGTTCCCTTAAAGTGTTTATATAATCACGCCTGGTCTGTTCGAATTCCTTTGCCTCGGGCGTGTCTGCGTCCATCATGTTGTGAAAACCGTCCTGTTGCGGCTTGATCTCGAGCTCCACCCCGCCGTCCGAGTCCCCGGCCTCCGCCTGCACGATCACGCCTCTCTTGTTCATTCTGTAGCCTTTGTGCAGATACTTGTAGATCAGAAGACGTCGATCAGCGACATAAGCCGTGAGCACCGTGGCTGGGAAGAAGGAGAATGTCAACACACCTTCCCAGACCTCGAGGACACCTGGACTGGACACAGCTAGGATCAGATACAGCCAGACGTACGCGAAGATGCTCCACGTCGCGGTCACGAAGAAGACCCTGAGATGCTTGATCTTTCGCGTTTCACCATTCGGTATCACGAACACGCACAACGCGATGATCACGAATAGATTGTACGCGGCTGAGCCGACGATCGTTCCAGGACCCAGTTCACCAGCTTGGAAATTCTTCGCCCAGATCTCGATGATCGACAGCAGGATCTCTGGCGCGCTGCTACCGAGTGCCATCAAGGTTAAATTCGCCACAGTCTCGTTCCAGACTCGGACCACCACGATCTGCGGTTCTTTCCCCTGACGACGGACCACTAGCTCTTTCTCCTGAGACGTGATCACCTCGATCGCCGCCATGAAACGATCGCTGATGATCGACACGCCGATGAACAGGTACAACAGCAGGAGAAAGTAGACCGTTCCACGGAATACCAGGTCGAATAGATTCAGATTCTCCTGCGGCCTCCACATTGGCACTACCAGACCGGGCTCGCAGCGGGTCGAATAGTTCCCTGACATCTTTCCCGGAGGTCTTTGCCCTGATCTGCCGCGTGTAACCTGCTCTAGATCGCGAGGGATGTCTACGTCCTCTTCCAACGACGAGCTTGACCCTCGATGAACTGAATGGTCGCTTCAAAAGTTTAACAGGAGACAGACTGCACGACTCCGGAATAGGATTCTGACGGATCACAACGGTTACAATGATCCAGACGATGTTCCTCCACCCTAAACGATCACGATCTCGACTAGTACTCACTCCCCTGAAACCCCCGCGTCTTCCCTATACCTCTGGCTCTAACCAGCGTTACTCCATCGACACTTCGTCCTATCTGTCCGTTCAAATGTCCTCAACTGCACCCGCACTAACCCTCGAAATACAACACACCCCCTATACGAATTTCACACTCCTTCACCACGCACCTTCACCCCCCTTTCTATTTTCCTTCGTCTTACAATCCCCCTTTCTCGTTCCGTCTTCCTCTCGTATAAACCACGACGATCTTCCCACTAAGTTACTTCTCTCCGCCCAACCGTATTCCCGATTCTCTCCCACCGATAACGAACCGCTAATCGGAAAGCTTTTTCACAGCCTACGAAAAACCGCGCGCTTTGTCACCCAGACGAGCCGTCGTGCATCGATGTGGCTCCGATTGAATGATCGGCTACCGGGGAGACCTGCCACCGATACCACCGCGGCAGCGAGCTCCCATCACGAAGAGGATCCCTTCGAGCACGGGGGCGACAGAACCGTCCGTACCGGGCCGTGTTCGAACGAACACTGAAAGAGGAGAGAGAGAAAGGCGATGAAGGAAGAGAGGAGTGGTCGTGCGTATGGGGGGGGGGGGGGAAGGGGGACTAGACGCGGGAGACCTCGGTTCCTCCGTCCCCTACGCCCTTCGTGGCTCTGCACGATATCCACCCCCACCTTTTTCCTTCCTCTGCTTAGTTTCTCTGTCTTATCCCCTGTCGGTGGTCATCGTTCCTTTTTCAGCATCGTCGCGACACCCTCGACTCGTCTTTATCGGTCTCGCGCCACCGATCGCAATCTACATCTTTCTTTCTCTGTTTGGGGATCTTCGTCGCCTACCCCTTGTTGCGGTATCTGTCTTTCTTCATCGTACACACCCGCCCCACCCCTTCGTGCTTGTCTCTCGACTAGCATCCCCTGCTAGCACACCGGCCGAAGGAAGCGCATGCGTTCACCACCCGTTCCGTCCACGCTATTCCTCCACTGACACCCCCTGTTCGGCAGGGGAGCTTCCCACCCCCGTCGGTGTATCTCGCCTGGAGAGGCGGTCAAACCTAGACCAGATCTAACCGGATGGAATCTCGATACTACTACCGTTCGACACGGGGTTCGCGATGCTTCCTCTATTCTTCTTGTTCTTTCTTTCTTTCCTTTTTCGTTCTGCCTCGGTTGTACACTGACGAGCAAACTCGGCTTCCACTAGGGAAAAATGTAACGTAGGGAA